AAAATTAGCACACAATTGCTGGCACCCACTTCAAGGCCTATAGAAAATTGGGACCGTAATGACCTTTCTGCTGCATAAATATGCTTTAACGGAATGATATGCAATGAAAGTACGAGTGTGTACACATCTGAGAGTGTGGCAATCTCTCGATAATACCTTTTCCGTCGTGTGAATTGCAGTCCCCAGGTTTTTTACATACTTCAGTTGCGTATGACATATAAAGAGTTAAAAGGTTCACACTTGTGTTTTCCTTAAGTAGGCTGATCTAAAAAAATAAAACTATGAGACGGAAGTCTCCCTCATTTAGTCGGCCTTTGATTGTTTAACTGGGCTTCAGAAGCCGCGGGTTACTTGACTGGCTTTCGCAATGCTTCTGCCGATGGAGGAGTACGTCAAAAAGTTTGAGGCCTACATGAAAAGCGGCAGTCGGCACGCAATCTACCCATGGACGGTTACAGCCAGGATTCGTCAGTTTCCCTATCTGTGGTATTATCGTAACAACCACTTTGTTCGGTGGTATGTACTAACAATGCCGATTTTCGTACCTCTGTCCTTTTACTTGTTTTACAAGTTTCATTTCATCAAGAAGAAGCTGACCACTGTATATGATCCGTTCAATCCGAACGAAATACCTATCGAGAAGCTCCACGACCACTAGTTCTTGAATTTCGTCAGCTTTCAAGTAGACTTCATGTAATCGGAATCTTCCTTGGTACATAAGAATAAATTGTTGCTACTTCGTTGCCGATGTTTTCCATTTAAAATTTTCTTCTTTGATCAGGGTCTGGGGCTTCGAAACTAAGGGCATTGTCTGAATTCTTAGACCAGTTTCGATGGTTAATCGTATCATGCGTAGCGTCAGTCGCCAAGCCTTGAAGCGTTGCCTTCTCACAGAGAATCTTCAAGTTTCCTTCCTACTGACCTGCGAACATACTACAGTCCCTGCCTTCTGACTCTTTCATTCCATCGTACTTTCGGTTTTTCAGCATCTTATCGACTACACTCATCCGAATGCAGACTTTAAGCGTAAGGTAGCAGTATCCACGGCACCTAGACTGGGTTTTGCAAAATACTTCCATGATATCTGACTGATATCTTTTGGGGCATTATGAATTTTAGCTCCAAAGATATATCCGCGGTTAATGGGCGCACTATCCTTCTTACTTTGGCTCACTTTATGTACAGTAATAGAACCCCCATGTCGGTGTTTGGATACCTGGGCCCCAACATTGTGGGTTTTTTTTACTCACACCCGTCCCAAGAGATTCACAAAGCCGTATATTTATGCACCACTAAAGTATCGAGTAGCAAATGGTAATTATTTGAGTTCTGGCACTATCAAACTGATAAAAATTAGCCCTCGCAAGTTTCTTAGGTGAAGGAGAAGAAACTTTTGCAGCGTCCCGGTCTGCCGGTGTTCAAATGCTTATCGCAACGTAAATCTATGGTTCATACAAACGCGGTCTCACACGGACCTGTCTGTTTTCATGAGTTAGTGCGTTTTGGACATGCTCTCAGGACACCGAAGTCGTTAAACTGGTCATTTTATCTGACAGAATTGCCACAGCAAGATTCATTGAGCTGCATGCCGACCAGACGCGATTAAATCCAGCCAATTTGGAGGAGTAGGTGGCTTCAACTACCTCGAGACCAAATACATAACAGGATTTCTATTTTTGGTTTGACTTTACCTCGATATCGTCATGTCCAAAACCGTAAAATAGGCGGAAAGGCGAAGTACACCCGTACAAACAAAGCGAGCACTTTAAACACGTCTCGTCTTATGCATTATAACTCCCTTTTTACAGTTAGGTTCCCTTTTCCCTCTACAGTGCACCTGTCTGTTCGGTTAGACCGTCTTTCATTAGCTTTGCCAATGCATTATTACAGTTTGGATTTTCCGGAAAGTTTACTAAATATGGTGTTTATAGACAAGATGGACTCCATGAATTATTTATATCATATGTGCACCTTCATTTCTTTATGGTCGTTCCCGTTATTATTTAGGACTTAGTATCTTAATCTGCATTGACTGAAGTTCTGTGAAGCCGCTTGTTGTATGTGCCAAAGGATATCTTGAAGGGCCTGGCAAAGGCGGATTATAGTTCTCAGATGTCTGTGTGACGCTCTGTGCGAAGGCACCTGTTCTGACGTGCATTCGGGGTCCACATTTTTCTTTTTTACTCCTAAAATTATTTTTGACAGTGATTTCATCATCCAAAACACGGGTAATATGGTTTTCGGCAAGTAATCTGTCTTTAGCCCACCAAGGCCAGGGCCCGATGTGTAAGTAAAATGATACATCCTACCTCCTTATGTCCACATTGGAAGTCCAGTTTTCTCGTGTTTACCTCTACGAACTCCGAACGTCGACGAATGGGCTATGCTGTTGGATCAAGAGACACTCCAAAATGCTGCTCTGTAGCTACAACTGTCGTCGTTCGCGCGTGTCAGCCATCTTCACCACACATTAGCCTTATTAATCTGCGGGATACTGTATTTGCCTTGCAATTAGTCCTACGTGGGGCTCCACCACGGCAACAAACGCATATAATCCACAAGGTCACATTTAAAGGGCACGCCGGCTTGCCATGGAGACTACTCCCACCAAGGTTTCTGTAAAGTCTTCCCTTACCGGCAATTTGTCTGCATAATTTGCAAATGCGAAACATTAATGCACGACGACGTAGCTATGGCATCTGAATTCCACAGCTGCTCATAGGATGCGTTCCTTTATTTTCTTAACGGATGTCTGCGCGTAGTCATTTTTTAACCTGTATGCGCCCAGGTGAACATGACTATGGTCCCCTTCGGTGACATCACTGGTCAATATAGTAGGACAAAGGACCGCCCGAGTGAACTATGCATACTTAGGGGAAGAGAAAGGCGAAGGCGCGCGTGTTCGCGGGGGTAGCTTAGGCATTTGGATACGTTAGTGAAGCAGACGTTAACCATCCACACCCATCCATCGGCATCAGACAGCGTCTTTCTAAAGTACACTATCCTCGTCCCCATGTCAGTATATCCATTCGTTCGCGAAGTGTCTCTGGAAGTTCCGATATTCACACACACACACAAACTGTTAAGATCTTAAATAGCAGACAGTAAGCCTCGGTTGTGTTTATGAAGTAATCTAGGTTTAGGTGACTCCGTAGTAGTTATTCCTACCAATGGTTTTAAAGACAGCTCAGTGGAAGCACTCACTTGTGCTGATTCACTATCCAGCTGCCCTACTTGCTAGAGATGCTCCTATTCAATACGCAAGACTTGGAGGCCCTCTGAGCCGATCAGGTGCCTAGTTATCTGCTACAAAGGGTACGATGGCTTAGCGATGGTTTTCATAATTTTCCTAGATAGCTTGCAAGTGGGAACGATTGCCCGTCAAGGAAACCATGGCACTGCAAGTTCTGTTTAATTTGCGTTGTTTAATGCACATTCTACACCGTCCGCTTCAGACCGCATAGAATTTAAGATGGTTGTTCAAGTAGTTCTAGCAATTCCTCGGTGTAACCTACGCAACTTACGCACAGCTGGGCGCATTCGACCGACCGCATAGGAGTAAATGAAAGTATCTCCAGCACCTTCCCAGTACCACGTCTATTGGAACGACCACACTCAAGTACGGTAAAAGCTTGCCGATTTCCGTGTCGCTTGAAAGATTGCCAGAGGTCTCCACCATCGTTCCTCGAGGACGGTTCTTATGGTGAAGCGCAAGGTTTCGTCCCGGAAAATACGGACCACTTTCTCTGTGACATTGCAGACATTCAAACGTAAGGCTCGGTGTGGATTGGGCGCGTTCTTTCACACCCCCCCCCCGGCGAGCAGCAGTGCGGTCGTGTTGCCTCCCACCAAAGTGCAGAGGCGATCCTGGGGCCTTTGGCGTCCAGTTTACATCGTTTGATAGATGACTGGACTCATCAGATCGCAATCCTCGGTCGCCGCGTTTGAGGAAGCATCCTCCCCGACATCGCCGAGTCCAACTAGGTCGGACGTGATCGAAGCTATACTGAGTCCATGCAATTTGCTGCAAGCCCGCGTAAGAGGAGTGAACCTCGGATGATTACGTCGACCATATCCAAGAAGTTGCTCGCGGAGCGTCTGTCTTACCAAAAGGGGTTTGTTTGCTGGTCAAACGCGGACCAGCAAGAGAACATGTCGATGGTTGGATGGCCGGCTACCCAGATTACGTGGTTTTATTTTTACGTAACCGTCCCAGGAAATTCCCTAAGTCACGCGGGGCTGTTTTAATTGCTATCACTGGGGTATCGAGTAGGCAGTGGCAATTATGTTTAACTACATTTGAGTGCCGGACACCATCAGACCGACAAAAGTAAGCCGTCAGAAGTTTGTGAGGCGACGGGTGGAATCGAATTCATAATGGGCTCATATTACTACACCTGCGGCAATTTTACGTTAAGATCATGCTAGCGGACAATGGTGACAGGTTTGATCACCACACTTGAAGTTCGAGTACATTACAACTCGAAGTTCACCAAGCACATAAGAGACTTAGCAGTCTGTAAGACTGAAAAGTCTGTGCGTTTACCCCCCCCCCTCCCCCCACCGATAAAATTTCAGAAACGCTTTTTGTTATGTACAAGACTAGAAAATGGAAAAAAAGAGATCACAGGGAATCACGCTTAGGACTTCTCAACAGCTTGAGTAGAAGATTGTCCAAACTGGAGGCTAGAGATGAGCACAGATTGGGCTCGCTGTCTCGTCCCCAGAAAGGACGAAATTGGAGAAGGGCGTAGAGGCAATAGGCTAGAGGTCGCTTAAGTAGGTTCTTTTCAGCGTTGATTGAAGCTTCCGGGGGCATCCAACGTGAGTCAGAAAACGCCAACCACACGAAGGCTGTAAAAAGACTGATGTCAGAAAAGTGGGCTGAAAGACGCAGACATGTAGTGAAAAGGTTCCGAATAACGGAGGAGTCTGGCTTCTTTTGGCTCGCGGACGCGGAGACCGTCCAGACTAGTGAGCACAGGAGACAGCATTGCAGCCGGAACAAGAAAGTGCTTTCCGCCGGTGCGGCGCTGCCAGACCGACCGTCCGGATTGGCGTCCAGCAAAAGCAACAGGCGATCTGCCAGGCCAAGCAATTCTGCCGCGTGGTCAGAGGACGTAGTCCTAAAAGTAGGAAGATAGCGCACAAACAGTGTTAGAGCAGAAAAAGTTAATTTTTGGAGTATACGTAGAGAAAGCGACCTACCGTTGATGGTCGGACATCTTGGTGACAGGTGAGATGAAAGCCCGCAGGAGACCACAAGACTTCCACTCACAACCAGACGCGAGGTGCAGTATCACCAGGAAGGCGAACAACGGCCAGAGTACACAATCCGGTTTTTCTGATTTGCCAGACAGCGACACGACTCCGCCGACTTTCGTGGCATTCGGGCTCCAACGTTGTGAGAAGAGAGCCCCAAAAAAGGGCGAGAGGTCGCACAGAAGCGAGGCTTCGACGGGTAACTGAACAAAGTCATGGTCCTGTTCACAGTCAACCATCGGTAGAAGACCAGAGGACTGTATGTAGGCATCGCATTCTTGCCTCTGCGCTGCTGATGATCGGAGGGAGATATATGAGATGGGATGGACCTCATCGTTTTGAGATCGGCCCTCCAGCCATGACTTGTATGCGCACTTGTCGGAATGCTGTTCATTTACAGCTTTGAACACGTGCTTGATAAGCAATTGTGTCCGGGCACTAAAAACATAATAAAGACTGCGGCAGGAAGAAAAGATGAAGGGAAGCGTAACACCATTAGGTGAAACTGAAATCTTACCATAGTTTGGTGGTCTGAATACCGTCGGGAATGGATTCCGTCGACAGGACACAACTAAATAGGGCATCCAGCAGCGCCTGATCACAGGACTGTTGGGAACTGAAGAGGTTTGAGGGATTCCAGGCCAAAGTTACATTAGGACAGATGAGTTTTGAGAGTAAGCCCGTAAAGGACAACCAGACCGGGCCACTCCAATTAGCCTGCGGTGTAGAGAGACTTGCAGCGAAGCGTTGTGCAAGCAAAGTAAGATGACTAATGCAACTGGAATTTGGGCAGCAAGCGTAAGCCATCGAGGCAAAGTGGTCGTGGTCGCAGGGTCGGAAGAGGCGTCTTCTGATGACTGATGCGACTTCGATTGGCAAGTCGAGGAATCTGAAAAGTGATTAGAGCCCTTGTGACCCATCACTATAAACAACACAGAAAAGTTGGCAACAATTTGCCTTCAGCGTCATCATCAAAGTAAATGAGTGCTGTGACAGCCTATGGCTTGATTATTCTAGGCTGCGTGACGAACAAAGTTATGGGATAGGACTTCTAAGGCACAAGACATTTATGAGAACGCATCAGCAATGTTGACATTCTGAATGCTTAGAACGGTTTCCATCGCAGGTAGAGCTCCACCTGACGACAAGCAGCTTAACGGCTACGGCTTCTGTCATTAACGAACTATATTTGGACATATTTATGGTTGCAATGGAGTAGATCGACCTCTACAACGGGCGGATCATGCGTAGACCGCCGAACGCTGTCCTCGCCAGAGCTCAGGCAACAGGCTTCAGCAGTCAACTTTTGGTATCGCATTAGTAACGGCACATGAAAACGATCTGACTGAGTGCAAGTCATAGCGTACGACTGCTAGTGCGTGATAGGCAAAATGCGGGATTTTGGAACAAGCAAAACAGTCTTATACAAAGCCTACTATTATCAGGTTGGAACAAGGGGGTTTTGACGTCAAATGGCGACATTACGAATCTCTCCCACCGAAAAGGGATGATTCCCAGCGCGAACAAGTGTGCTAACCTAGGGACACCAAGATGACAGAGCGACATATGTAGTCCCTTCAGATCAGCTGGATGGGAAGGCGCTGCAGTAACTACTAGACGGCAAATCCGCCACTGGGTTATATTCACTGGTCAAAAGGTCTGAAAGCGTGTGCTATGCCAGTGTCAACAAACCGCGGCCCTCGCAGCCTGGTATGCGTTGGCAGTTCCCCGACACCCTGCCGGTAGGTGTGCTGGCGCTCTCGCTGGGCGTACAGGTCGTGAGCATGGCCGCCTAATCATCCTCGTCCTTCAGGTCCCTGTTGGGGTGTTGTTGTTGGTGAAAATTCCTGGTCGAGTGCATTTTGTGGATCAGAGGATGTGGTGGCGAGCCTAGATGCGGGTCCAGCCGTGCCAGAAACCTGCGCCGCCCTCGCCTTCAGTTTTCTTGACTGCCTTGACACCGGGTCCAGGTGGGGAAGGAGTAGAGAGCGCGGTAGACGCTGTGCAAGTCAACATTCACTATAAACTAAATTGCGCACAAGTCACTGTCCTCGCTCCACCTTGCTGTGGAGCACATGGTGGAATCGACAGTCGAACTGTCAAACAATGACTTATTTGAATGGGAACAGCTCCGATATCGAACGTTCGATCTAGTCATTCTTCGCTTCGACTTACGTTGGTTCCTATGGATAAAAAACGCCGAGTTTAACGTGCTTACAGATGAGAAAATGGCTTCAATTGCGCATGGATCCCGCTACGGCGTATGTTTCTTCTTAGACAGCAAAATAATGTCGTTCAGCTGGAGATTGACTGCGAAATGAACGCTAACGGCCGACCATTCTTGTTCAATGTGGCGGCAGTTGCGATATTTAAAGCATCGATTTCGACATCTAGCGGACTTTTATACCGAAATGATGACGAGTGTGGCTTTCGCAGGCACCTACTTACGTTGTAAAAGCTTTCTTTATGTCCGACAGTAGAGGTAAGATCTTATTGTGAAAGAGCGGATGAATCTTGCCTGAGAAATGGGAGCTACATCGTGAATGTAAGGCGGACAATCCTACGAATTGTTGCTGTGATTTGAGGTCATGTGGGGGAGCAATTTCACGCAAGGGTTTAGGACGATGATGATAGGGTCAAACGTTACCTTGAACACGTCTTAACCAAGAGTCTCGATTCACTTAGAAACGATGACCTGCTGACCGTTGGGTTGTAATCAGTAATCACTCGTTCCCCGTGGTTCTCACTGGCTAAAACCAGGAGGTGAGCTCACCAAGGGAAACTCGATGACTCCGAAAGAAGACGAATATCCTTTCGTGCAAGTCTCCCATCTATATTAGGTTTTGTCACGGCAGGCTTGCGGTCATGTGTTAAATTAGGAAATAATCAAGGTGGCCTGACGGAAGCGGAAGTGAGAACGCGGGTTAAGGTCCACCGAAATAAATTGTGCACGGTTGTGGAACCGAAAGAAATCATGGCCGAGAAAAAATGGCGCACAAATCTGGCAAGACCAGCAGACTGACCTCGTAAACGGCATCTTTATATTTGACCGAGACGAGGAAACGTCCTCGCGTGTAGCCAGTTAGGGCAGTGGTAGTCATAAATATCTTATTATAAAATTCAGGGCTACTATGAAATATTAAATGTAACTTCCTATGTCTATCAAGGCCTGTAAATTCGCCCCATCGATCTGCGGTTCAACCACTGCACCCGAAAAGCAATCGGGAATGACAGCCGATGCTACGGCGGAAAGTAGCGGATGTATAGAGGATTAGAGGACCCTTCAGCTTCGTGATGTCAGGTAAACCCTTCGAAAATACTTCATTACGGCATTCATCGCATAACACGTCGGGTGCTGGAAACCTCAAACGAGCATGCTTGCCATTTCCACAAAAGAAACGCTTATTATGGGGCGGAACATGAAGTTGTTAGAGCAGGTGCTTTAAGAGGGTGTTCACACACCTGATTAGGAGAAGATAATAAGGTCCTCGGAGGGTTCTGATAAGATGGAGACTCATTCTGTCACTTCCAGGGAACTTGCGAAAGCCATTGATTTTTGATGAATCTATTCTGGCGAAAGGTCACTAATGAACATGTCTCTGGTGGCATAGTAAAGATTTTGTTCTGCCGTAACTGCTGTAAAATCGCAGTTTTTAGCTTCAAGACTTCAGTTTTGGAGATTACTAGTTGGATGTGTCTGCAAGTTGCTAGAAGATTGAACGCAAAGTTTCGTTTTTTGGTCTTATGTAAAGGTAGCGCAACAATCCAACAGTCCCTTCATAACTAGGACATTCAGCAATGCATTCCCAAACTACTGGAAAAACATAATTAGCCCGAATGCCCAATTTTTGAGTTTCAGATTTTTGATCTTGGACACGAGAACTTCAAATGTGCAAAACCAGTGGCTGCATTATTTGGAAGCGTTTGAAGCATTTGCATGGACATAGAAATTGGTCCACTGTCAAATTGCAAGAAGAATAAATTGTTGTGATCAGTCACTACCATACGAGTGCGAAAGTAGGAACAAAATATTATTGAAGAATCAGAATGGAGGAGTACCCTAGGATGGGGCATCAGTCATCCCACAATTGGCTATCGGAACAAAAGCGAGAAACAGAGCAGCAATTAATGAGATGAAATTCTATCCGGCCAAGAAATCAGCATGACAGCGCTCAACAGCCCGCCGCTTGGGGGAAATTGAAACCAGTTTTTGTTATCGCTATGGGTTAAGATAAGTCAGCCAAATTAGAAAATTACAGGTGCGCTTACGCGAGAGAAAAGGCTCGTTGGACCAAAATCTGCTCCCAATGGGTGACATGTAACGGATCACCCGAAACCGTCTCAGGGTTATCGGGGCCCAGCATGGCGAAATTCCAGTCGGAAGACGTACAAGCCAGCGTTCTTAGCAACTCCATCGCAGCCAAACGCTGTTTGTCGAATACATGTGCGCTTGTGCAGGCGAAGCACCCCAAAAGCAGAAGTTGCTTTAAATGGCCTCCCTGGGGATTAAGCAGTGCACGACATACATCGACATTGCTGGCAGCGGCAAGCAGCAGATCTGTTGCGCCCTTGCCATCCGGAGGGCAGAGACTTCCCTTGTCGTTTGGTCGTTTGCGTTCTGAAAAGGTGGTTTTCACCGCATCAGTGTTGCTGGGAAGTAGCCAGCTCAGTGCAATCCGAACAAGGACACTCAAATTTTTCAGATCACTGCAAAGACATTTGATGCTTCCACTGCAGACGAGTCTCTTAAGGAAATGGACGACCCTGTTTAATGTGCCCGTGAGAGGAAGATGCTGTAAAGGGCTTCCTGGAGACTTTGTAGGTCCGTAACTGTCTTCCGACTTCGTGCGCTTAGAGGTAGCTAGGTCATAAAAGAGTACCGGTTAATAGTGTGCTTTCCTACCAAAACGACGTAAAGTGTTGCGAAATACCGCACTGGATACGATGGAAAAGGTCGACAAATTGGATATGCTAATGTAGACCACGGTCGTTTATTCGACGTAGAAGAGTCTTATGAGTGGTTCAAAGTGCAACAAAGCAAGAGGTGGGCATACGTGACGGTGTGAATCATGGGTCTACGATGCGGCTTATGGTCTGGAAAGATCTCATTTTTGAGACCCTATTCACTAAGCTGTGGCTTCCCAGGGGACGAGACATTATCCAAGCTATTTACCCGATGAGACAAGAAAACAGCGGAGTAGCAGTGTATGGGGATCGACAAGCATGTGGAGTTCCTTCCTGACGACTACCTACCCCATCGGGCGCACTCTGGTACTCATGCGACTCCTAGTTCCAAGTCCTCAGCAAAGTATCTGAACTTGTTTAGACGCACGGATTAAAAACTGCCAGCATCCGTTTGTGAAAAACTTCCGATGTTTCCTGACTACCCACTACATTTGACGGACTGGCTGGCACGCTCACCGGGTCTGTAAGGAGGAGTTGGAGACGTAATCGCCGTTTGCGGAGAGTAAATGTGGTAGTTAAGTTTGTCTGTCTATTAGCTCTGTCTTCTATGATAAAGTCTTGTTTATTTTCTGCTTTTATGCTCAGTGAGAGCTTCTAAAACACAAAACCTACCGTTTTGTCGCCGTCGAAAAATATTCGAATAAGACTGTTAGCCAATCATAAATGAAACTGAAAACTGAAACAAATGGGCCAATAAGTCGGTTCTTGCATAGTGACGTTAACGACCCTGGATGATGTGAATAATCAAAGTCCGTCTACACTAAATACTACATGGTTGGGCGTCAACCTCCTCTGAGCATTTTCTACACTTCGAGAGCCAAATATAAAAAAGCCCCCCTGAGCCAAACCTAGTATGTAGAGACGAAGAATGCTGTCGTTACTGAACCGAGAGAAACATTCGAAAACTAGACGGGAACACCATGCTAGGAGACAAATCGCAGTACTATATACTTACGCTACAAGACTACGTCACGCAAAGCAAACATTTTCCACGAATACGATTTGCGGTCCAAAAAGTGAAAAAACTGAAATAACAAATGCCGAAAATTCAAAAAAACGAGAGAAAGAGGTTATCAAATTTGCGAGTAACTAAGGTGTAAGAGGTGCTTACTCTCGGCGCCGTAGCTAGGTTTTCGGGTAGTTAGGCCGTGTAGGAACTGCAGCCACTTCCCGACATAGGGGCAGGCGATCCGATCAACTAGATTCCTTGAATCGTCCGATGAGTTAGCTATCTGCTCAAGTAAGTCAAGCGCATCCCGCAAACGACAGATGCTGTGAGCAAGAGTTTCCTTTTTGGTGGTGAGATTAGCGTCTTCGGGCAGTCTTAGCAACGGAACTATAAGTGCTGAAAGACCAAAACCGTGGTTGTAGTTGATGAGTCCCAGACGAAAACATCTAAAGTTGTGTACGTACAAAGGTTGGGTCAAGAGAAATGGCCAAAAGTTTCGGAGATGCTATCTAACAGGCAATCAGAGGCATGGAAGTTTACGCGCTGACATCCCTGCCAGCACATGGCCCCTTCATAGGCGGGGCTGGGTGGGGCCAGAGGACCCTCTGGATTGACGCATTTTGAAGCTAATTTGCATCGAAAGTTATGTTTCAAGAGCGCCACTCATTGTACCTTCTTTGGCCTTAAAAGGAGCTAATTTATCATAAGTGGCTTATAAATCATGGAAAAAGAATTCGTTTACGTCCACGGGTCGCGGATAATATCGTGCGTCGGACAATGCTGTTTTTGTGCTCTTGATAACTGTCTTAGTTAATTTATGTATGTTCTGCAAATTGTTTTGGTATTTACTCACCAACCAGTTCAAGTAGTCGACTTGTATGTCTATGTATGTACTATTTAGGATTGGTGTTCACAGTCCACTTATACAAATTGTTTATCGTTTTTTACTGAATATCCCAAGCAATTATGAAGCGTAATTACTGTGGCTATCACCGAATCACCGTATACAAGGGCATTAAGCGCCAGATGAAGGCATATTATGAGGCCACTGAAGAGCCTGAGTCTGAGGTTCCGTCAACATCGACAGCAGTTGGCAATCAATCCCCCGAACGAGAAATGCCTATTCTGAGTTCCGAACCTTCTGCCGGCAGGGCTAGTGCTGGCAGGGATGGACCAGACCGAAAAATTATACGACAGTGGATAGGTAATATATAAATCGTCTTAGGTCTGGAGCATCAAAAAATTTCCTAAGTCCCACTGACGACTGTACTACTATATGCGCATGAATGTAGCAACGAAGCAAAAATGCAGACACCTGTCAGATGACAGCCTCACAGCCATTGAGGAGGCCGCAGCCTTGAACTTTGCATCTGTTCCGGCGGCCAAATCACACAGAATCTTAATCAGGCAATCAACTCGAACAGGTCGACTTGGTAGATGGCAGGTGAAACAGAACACCTGACAGGCCCATTTACATACGGAGAAAAGCGTGGCTGCGTCTTCCAAGACCCAATCAACTGAGGCAAGTCTGGTGACAGTGGTAATAAGAGTGAAATCGGACTCTGTCGGTTGTTCCCAGTCCGCACTACGGAAAGAGTATGAGACATTAAACAGAATTACTTCTCAATATGATCCGCCAAGACTTTCAACACTAAAGCGATAGAATGCTTTGAACGCCGGTCTGAGAGACACGAAAATATGACATCAGGGAATTGAGATGAACATTGTGACCCAATAGCAGTTTTCACGGCGGACAAGGCAAGTGATTTCAACGTAGTAATACCCATTCGCAACTATGACCAACAAACACACCTCCAGAAGAGACAGCCAGAACACCAACACATGATCGGCATGAAGCGCGCAACCCTACTAAAATGAATAATGATAAAATGAAATAAAAATTTGATTGCGGTTTGAAAACAAAACTTCGCATAAATGGAATACTTTATAATAACTTAATTTTAGGCATGAACCGGATCAGACCCAATATCAGCGTTTTGGCCTGACAGATAAAAGAGAAAGTAGGCGTGATTCGGTAAAAACCACTTTATTAACATAGCCCAAAAGCATAGTTATTTTACATTTCAAGAACGCCTTCTCGGGACGCGGGGCTTTATGAGACATTCCACCCTATGACATGCAAATCATGGAGGCTGTTCTAAAACATTCCCGTTCGTATCATGTCCGTGGTGGTTTGGCAGTTGCGTGCTCGAGAATTCCCTCGCGGTAAAATCTCAAAAGTTTGACTGGTCACTGATTGGATTCCTCGCGTGAACGAAGGTCCCACTTGGGCTCGACACTGTGGGACATGCTGTCCGACTGTCAATTTCGCGTATTTATTCTCCTTGAAGACTTTGTTCTCTTGTTCCGTGCGTGCACATCTCGCCTTAGGTCCTGAATCCCCACCGAGTGCACTCCATAATAATCGGATACTGCCGAGATGTCACAATTCAACCTAATCGATAGAATATGCTGCATACATGGACTGATCTTTATATCGCAAGACAGAGAAATAATAGGATGACATTTTCTAGACATAGCTCAGATGATAACTGGAGAAAGTATCATACAGATTCGTGGAGTGTAGGTCACGCAGCGGATCTCAGGGCTCAACAGGATAAGTTACACCGATAGTTCGACTCTCGTGATCGAGGATGTCTATTCTGTGGACGCAGGTCACTCGCGCGGCAAAAGCCCGCACACATTTTGGTTCGGCACATCTAATGCATGGCCCGTTTTAAGGAGCAAAAAGTACACAAGATCCAACCGTCGTGACGAAGGAGGGGGACAACAGAAATGTTAACTGGCCCGTTAACTAGTTTATAATGGTAGTAGTCTTCCGGTGCCTCTACCGCATTTCCGCTCTTCTGCGCCAACTGAAATAAGTGTCAAGACAGAGTCAATAAGACCAAAAGGCGAGAGACCGGAGTGTCGCCGGTAAGCTTGCATGACGGAACCCCACACGACACTCGGCCGACGTGGCCGACGCTACCCAGATTTTGCCTCAAAACAAGATGTAGCAGAGACTTGCGACTGATTTAGTTTATAGCGAATGAAGACCTTCGTTGCATTCACCGCACGAAGTCCTCCCCTCCCACAAGGACCCACTGTCAAGGCAAAATCAAGGAGGCCGGTGGTGGGGGAGGGCGCATGTGGGTGGCGCGGTCGAGCCCATACCTTGGCGCTCCACTCCACACTCACTGGTCCACATAGCAAACGACCCAGGATTTTAACCAACAACTAAAGGAGTGTCTGGATCGGCCGTAGCCGCAACTGGGCGTGCCGTCACACCTGGCTCGGGTCCTACGGAGTGAGTGCCATTAAGTCCCCATTAAGAAGGGGCCATTGTAGTCGGCCACTCCACGCAAACACACGGCACTGGGCAGTCTGCGAGGTCCAGGTTATCCCGTCAGCTAGCGACCTTCCAAGCCACAGCTTTTTACAAATTGTAAAAGCATAGGCACGTCAGATTTATTATAGGGAGAAGTGCACTGAGTTGTTTAGCTCACACTCCTCCTCCTACACATCACAAATCCAATGTCCGGCGCGGTCAGACGTCTGCTGAGAGAAATGGGTGCAATGGATTCCAAAGCTAGAAAGCTCGTCTGCGCGCCACATGCACGACCTGACCCCCAGAAGCAAACGTCATGTTTGCACACCAAATGGGGAAAGCGGCTCCTGTCTCGCGTGTGCAAGAGTGTGAAACTAGGAAGAGGGCACGTAGTCTAACTCCTAGTACATCAGATTCCTACCGAAAATTCGAACGCCCTTCCCGATTCTGCCCAGTGCGTGCACCACAGCAACGTTAGGCAGGCACTGTAAATTGCGCATGAATTAGTTTAGAGTGAGAGGAGAATTTCGCAGCTTACGAACGTTATTTACGATGACAAGCATAAATTTAGTTAGCAAATCGGCATCATTATGTCTTCCTTTCCTCAGCGTGTGAAGTGATGATTCGGAGTTTAGCCACTGCTTGGCATAACTGTTGGACGTGACACGCGGGATTAGTTTCGGCTAAATTTTGATGCCGGACGAACCAAGACGGCAGCGCGTCACAGTGGGCAGGACTACCAAAAGCTCGAAGCAAAAACTTGAGTTGGCGAGGAGAATGCTTTCCAGACCATAGCATGGAATATAGTATTCAGTCTGCATAGGCTAGCAAAGATATGCGGAATTCAGATTCAAACAGCTGGATTCCCCAGTAGTGGCGATCGAGAGGACATCCAACTGGAAATTATAGTGTTTCAGAAAGGTCCGTGGCAGAAGATGGGGTTATATTTAAAATGTGAGTCCAGAATGAACATAACGAAAAATGGTTAAAAACAGTGAGCAGGCAGTCTACACCGGAGTTTCAGCAGGAAGTTGAAAAGAAAGGAAGGCAGCCACAGAGAGAAGCATTTAATTAGGTTGGCGTTTCCGGTTCATACACGAACCTAGCATTCGGAATGGCTCGACGACGCACAGCCGATATGCCGACGCAGACGCATGCATATATATACATATATATATATATATATATATATATATTGAGAAGAAAAGACGATCTCGGGAACCATAGCTTTACTGTCCTGACGTTTCAAAAGCTTACAAGCTTCCATCGTCGGAGGTGAGTGCGGTATCGCGCCTCACATTATTTATAGGTGGGTGACAGTCATGTCAAAACGGGTTTTCTTACATATGAAGTCAGGGCGGCAGGAGGGAAGGGGCGGGGGGTGTCCTAAAGCGTCTTTTCGCCAGATGAG